TTGAAGGCCCAGTAAAACATGTACAACTGGACAGCTGTAAAAGAAATGCCGCGAGTGGAGGCACAATTATGTGACGCAAGGAATAGTCTGGAAGAATGCTACAGTAAGGGGAAGAAGGTGGCATATGGAGTGCTGACGATCTTCGGGTCAACATATTCATCCGAGCAAGCGTTTTTTTTTTTTTTTTTGCATGAATATAATAGAAAGTAAAGAAAAGAGGCAACTAACAAATACAAATCTAAAGGCGTACTTGAAGCTGAAAACATACTTAACCAAACTTTCAAACAGTGTTTCTTCCAGACTTTTTTCTCCGGGGGGGGGGGGCACTTGAAATTTTCGGGGGGGGGGGGGGGCGGTAAACTTTCTTCGGGGGGGGGGGGGGGCGGACACTGTTAAAAGTATATATATTCTATATAAATTATATAAATTTCATTTCGTTCGGGGGGGCGGTAAAAATTTTTCGGGGAGATGCATGGAAGAAACTCTGCTTTCAACTCTGCTTTCAAACAGCATACAATGCTAAACTGTTGTAAATATTATTCAATAATTATAGTTATATAATTTGATTACTGATTTTATTATTCTAGCAGAAATACGTTACCCGTTCAAAGGAGTATTTTTTATATAAATAAATATTATTTCATATTTAAAGCTATTTATTTTAATATATAGAACTATGATATCTCATCACATACATTTTCATTTCTTATACAACACCAAGCCCCCCTAACTCACTGGCTCACATTCTATCTATAGCAGGGGTCTCCAAACTACGGCCCGCGGGCCAGATGCGGCCCGCGAGGTCCTCTCATCCGGCCCGCGGAGATCTTTTTGTCCACAGAATAAACGTTTGTTGTTGATGGCTGAGGAACTTTGCCCAGAAAAAAATCAAAGACATGCCTGGAAGACTCTGGCCCCCGAACTAAAATTTGATAGTTGATGCGGCCCTCGGACTGAAAAGTTTGGAGACCCCTGATCTATAGCAACAAGTTTTTTTTTCCTTCTACATCACTATCTCTCTATCTCCCTAACCCTTATGTATGTCCCTTACAAAATCTCTAAAAACCGAACACCCCTAACTTTGGACGAACCTGGAAGAAAAATCTAATTTTACCCCAACTTGGATAATGAATTTTTTTAAAATAGACCTAAATAGAAACATATTTTTGAGCATTAATCACTATCATTCTCCGTGCTACATAAATAGATTGCGGGACTGAAAAATACGATAAAAGTCGATTTCTCTTGGTAGTCTATATTTCATTTATAGATTAACTGCTTCGTTCTTTAACTTAAAGAACATATTGCGAAAAAATAATAATAAAAGAACAAAAATGCTTTATGTGTTTAAAAATAGTTGCATCGTCTTATAGGATTTCATTTGTAGTATCTAAATATTTGTAGTGATGCATTCCATTAATCAGAGCTGACATTGTCTAGATAAGCTTACATTAAAAGTAAAAAAAAACGACGTGCATACATAGCATGAAATAAAACAGGGAGTGTAGGCTACTTAAAACAAGGCTAATGACCGTGTTGACAACAAGCTACACACCTACACAACACGCCGCGCCTAAGGGATAACATGACGTCATGTGACCTGGATTTTCAAAAACTCGGACAATTCTTATCTGTGTTTAAAGATATCGCGCCTATGTTGTTATTCGATATCTGACGATCCGGCTTACATGATTGTGGTGTGTGGGTAGGGTGGGTAGGGTGGGGACGGTAGATGAGTTTAAGGGTAGGGTACGTGGTTTTCCGTGCAGAGGAGAGGGATTACATTTTTGGGATACATGGGTGGGGAAGGAGGGGTTAAAGATTTTAGGGACATTCCTGATGATTAAGTGGGCGAACGATCTAGGGGAGTGATTATGAGGGGCGTGGAAGTACCGTAAGGGAATACCATGAAAGTTATAGTAGTGAAAAAATGTTGTGTTTGAGCAATTTATATTAACCATTAATACATTAATTGTTAATTACGATTTCAGTGTCTGTGGGAGGGGGTGGGGGGGTGGGTGGGAATGGGAGGGGGTAAAGCTTGGAAATTTAAGTTTTCATTGTGTCTTGATTATTTCCATAACCCATAAAATGATGTCACTTCACACTTCTAAATGGAATTTTGTTTTAAAAATACATGTATAAAGCTAAGAAAACAATGTTTTCTTTCAATATTGTAATATAGGGAAAAAAATAATCAATCGAACACTATAGATTGTAATATAGGCTTATTAAAGTAAGTGTGGAATTGATTAGTTTTACACTAATTAAAATTAGGCATAATACGAGAAAGGTTTTAGCTCATGTTTTTTTTTTACTTTCTCGTATATACAAAGTATAGAGAAAGTATTGTAATCGTGCAAAAAAAATCGAGATTTTTACAAATCTCGACGTTTTACACCTCACTGATACGGAAAAACATAATTTTGCAATCTTGTCCGTATGTCTGTGTGTCTGTGTGTCTGTGTGTGTGTGTCTGTGTGTAAACACGATTACTTGAGTACCGTTACAGCTAGGTTGATGAAATTTTATATATAAGTATTTTATCAAAATCGTAGATCCGTATCAACATTTGAGCTATTTCCGATAACCGGAAGTGGTACTTTTTCTACTTTGAATTTTTCAAAAGCCTATAACTTTAGTACTATTTCAGATAGATAAATGAAATTTCACATATAAGTAAAAGACCGGAAGTACTAATTTACGCTATTTCCTATTTCTCAAAAAACGCTCGTAAATTTATAAAGTACTAATAATATCCCGCACTATTATGCACATTTTATTAGGCGTTCACTTGGTGTGCAATTCTTTTTTTTACGAGATTCCATTCTATTATAAAAAGTTTAAGTAATTAAAAATGCATTACAAATATTGTCTATGTCCTGAGTTGCCATCCCTCGTAGTTTTATATTAGAATATCCGAGAAAGTTTAGGGGAGATCACTCCCGGTTTATTCGATTCAGTGGAACTCGTGGTCGAATCGGTAAAGCCTGCCGTGTTTCTTCCAGGCATCTCTTAGGGGGGGGGGGAAGTCTACCGAAATGGAGTATAAAGAAAATATATAATTGTAACAGTGTCTGCCCCCCACCCCCCACCCCCACTGCCCCCGAAAATTTCAAGTCCCCCCCCCCCCCCCATCAGGAGAAAAATGTCTTAAAAAAATACTGAAAGCTTGTGGTTGCTGAACCTTAAATTCTCGAGTTCGATAGGAGAGACAACACCAAAATCAAACAACTGCTGCATTTGAAAGCGGAGTCAACTACCAATATGGCGCATAACAAGCAGAGTTTCTTCCAGGCATCTCTTCGGGGGGGCGAAGCCCCCCCGAAAAATTTTTACCGCCCCCCCGAACGAAATGAAATTTATATAATTTATATAGAAAATATATACTTTTAACAGTGTCCGCCCCCCCGAAGAAAGTTTACCGCCCCCCCCGAAGATTTCAAGTGCCCCCCCGGAGAAAAAAGTCTGGAAGAAACACTGATAACAAGTTGACAAGTAATATTTAATTGTGTTGGAGGGAATCCCTTCCAACATTAAAAATTAAGAACAAAGAAGAAGAAAGGGAAATCAATGTAGATTGTGTATATTTTTATATTCATACTTAGTTTTTATTTCACTTGCTGAATTCTTGTTTACTTAAATCCTTCAAAAAACTTACAAAACTAAAAATATATTTAATTTTTCAAATAAAGCAATACTTTTTAAAAATTATTTTTAAAAAAATATTTCAATGAGTACAATTAAAATCTCACAAAACATGTTGCTTACATTTAAAAATGGGGTAGGCTATAAATAAACTGGTCCGGACTACCACTGGGGTATTCCCCTGACAATTTAAAAACAAGCTTTTACGTCACTGTCTAATTGCATGTCATGTGACCAAGTGGGATTTCCCTAAGGGCCCAAGTAGACTGTTCATTGTAATATTTTTAAAATGTTTTTTGGGTCAGAGAAAAAAGTGTGGGAAAATTAAAACTTTTTTGCCAAAATATGTTATTTTTCACAAAATATCGAATTAAGAATAATGCTACAAGATACATTGTAAGCAAAAACTACTCGTAAAAATAATATTTGGTAATCGGTAACACTATGCTTGAAATACGATTTTTCGTATCAAATTTGATACAGTATCGTTAACTTGTTCCTATAATTTAAATGGTCATAACATTGTTACAACGTAGATTTAATATAAGTAAAGTTCCTGTTTAGACATAGCGGTTCATTCCGCAGATAAGGTAGAGTTCATATATTTCTTGCAGTTTTAAATATGCAAGGCAACTATTGCTATCACTTCTTCGTTAACGGGTCACTATCTACAATCGTCTTAAACATTAGTATTACGTAATGTTCAATTATGCAAAAAGACCACTCCAGTTATGACCGCTTTTAGACCAGTTGGTCAATAGGACAGTTGGTATATATATATATATATATATATATATATATATATATATATATATATATATATATATATATATATATATATATATATAAGGGATAACCTTTCAGAAATTCCTAGAAGGGGCGTTTTGGAAATGCGACTGCGCTGAACATAAACATACAATGTACATGTGTACCTATAGATGTATAAACACCTTACATGTTTACCTGTAACGATACCTTATATGTTTACCTGTAGACGGTCACGTTACATTACATGTTTACCTACACAATTTAGTGACACCGCGCAGCAACGCTCCAGGATGTGACGACAGGTAAGTCGGTCTGTCCCCTGGATAAAACGCAATAAACCTAACGTGAGTCCGGATTACCGGCTAAGCGGTTTGAAACAATGTGACCTTCTACTTAAAGTGGGAAGCGACACATCCTGTGTTCGTCACTCAAGATCCTGCCCAAGTAAACAACTAGCCTACGTATAAAAACAGCACAGAGGAAAGTAATTGCTCAGTAGCAAACACGTCTAGGACTAAAACATTAGTTCAGTGATTGGCAGGATTATCTATTGCATCTGTCTTTTGTCACATCGGCATATTAGCATGGAGAAGATAATCGACATTGTAAGTATAAATGTAAATGTAAACATATATAAATGTATAAATGTAAACATATATATATGTATATATATATATACATATATATATATATATATATATATACATATATATATATATATATATATATATATATATATATATATATATATATATATATATATATATATATAAGTATATATATATACATATATATATATATATATATATATATATATATATATATATATATATATATATATATATCCTATATATATATTCATTCAATTACGGTAACAATAGTAGGCAAGGAAGGGAGGCTTTTTTTCACAAAATAAACAAATAAAACAACAATTTAATAACAGAATTTAAAAAAGCAATTGCATAGTACCGACGTAGCAGTAACATAGCACTAAAAATGTGGAATAAAGAAATAATATTACATAGTTATAATACAAAATGAGATAAAATAAGAATATAATAGATAAATGGGAAATTTTTTAAAGAGTCAGTTAGAGAGGTCATTAGATAATTGTTGTTTTAGTTTAGTTATAAAGTTATATATAGTAATATGTATATATTTATATAGTTATGTAACAATCAATTTGTGTACTACTCTCAGGTGAAGAAGTACAAACACCTGACCGCATGTACACTTTTCGCTACAACTTCCCTGATCCTACACTTGGTGCTCTTGATCGACAACGGCTGGTTCAAAGACTCACAGACAGATGCTCGAGTGGGGCTACACAGTTTCTGTGTGGGGGAATACTGTGGGGGTCTCACACATACAGGTAGATTCAATGGTTTAACTTCTCTAATGCATGCTAGCTAATGCTAACCATTCTGTACTAGTTCATAGTTATATTAAAAATATTACATTTACTTTACAATATAAATATAAATATATATATATATATATATATATATATATATATATATATATATATATATATATATATATATATATATATATATATATATAGATATATATAGATATATATATATATATGTATATGCATATACATTGTAAAGTAACGTATAAAATAATTATATTGTAGTTAATACTGGTATGAAGACATACATATACACCATATATATATATATATATATATATATATATATATATATATATATATATATATATATATGCCTGTGCATTAGCGCGTGTTTGATTGTATCCGTGTTTTTAGATATTTACATGTCTTTGCATTTTTTTGTCTCTTTAGTTTATGAATACAATTTTACGTGTGTCTCAGTATATGTGCATGTGGTGTAAACCTCCCTACACTATAACCTATCCACCCACAGCGGGCATCTATGTGGCCAAGTGTTTCCTGATCACCGGCCTGACCTGCGCATTGGTCAGTTTCCTGGCACTCACGGTCTACCTCTACAAACTCATTAGACACGGCGACGGCAACATTGTATTCCTAGGATTTATGATTCTGTTTTACTTCTTTGGAGGTGAGTCACATGTCAGCGTTTATGCTATATTAAAAAAGAAATACTGAAATATTACAGTACCCTTGATTTAACCTGTTTTTTTTTTAAATTATTTTTTTAGAAAACCTAATTACCTGTATTTATGTCTCCTTACAAAAAAAAAAAACATTATTTTTTCGCGTTAAAAAAATTAAATTATTTGTTTTAATTTTAATTGTTGTTAAGAGTTAAATAAAAAATAGATGAATTTTTTCCTATAATAATAAAACCAATTAAATTTTTTTAAATAGTTTTGGAAGATAAATAAAATGCAATTTCCTATTTTTACAAATATTTTTTATGAATAGTAAAGTGTGGTCCTTTTATAAGTCAGTCGAAGTTTGAATTGAATTTCCTTTTTTAGTTATTCAAGTTAGCTTTGTTAATTAAAGTCGACTTTTTAGATTTTGTTCTATTTTTGATACATTAAGATAACTTAAATGACTTTTTTTTTTAAATTTGATCAAATAACTGGTCAAATAACTGGAGGATTTGTTGATTAAAAGTCGATTTATTCAGATTTTGTGATCGATATAAATAACAAACGTTTTCTTTTTTTTTATCCAGTTACTGCAGAAATTGTTAATTAAAACTCGAAAGTTTAGATTCTTTTTTCTTATTGGGGTTGATCTAGTAATTTGAGGATTTGTTAATTAGAAGTCAAATTTTTAAATGTTTATTAATTGATAAACTCAATTTAAATGACGTTTTATTTGTTTTGATCAAGTGATTGCAGAGTTGGTTAATTGAAAGTCGAAATTTTAAATGTTGGGAATCATAAACATAACTTTTATATGACTTGATCCAATTTTATATTTTTTTGATGTATGAATAAAACTTAAATAACGTTTTTATTTGCTTTGATCCAGTGATTGCAGAGTTTGTGTAATTGGAAGTCTAAATTTTATATATTTTTTTATTGATGAATTTAACTTACATGACGTTTTTATTTGCTTTGATCCAGTGATTGCAGAGTTTGTTGGTGCTTGCATTTACTCGGCTATCGGAGCCACGGACGCCGCCCGATCGATTAAACTCTGGGACCGGTTGGTGGTTAACCTGTCCGTCTCTTACTGCGTCGGGTTGGCGTTCATCGCCGTCCTGCTCAGCGGGTTGGCCATGGGGTTCACCATCTCCCACCTGCTGAAGGAGGTGGAGTCCAAGAAATCTGCCACCTCACCTGAGGCACCTGCCGATGGGCCTAACGCTGAGCCTAACGCTGAGCCTAACGCTGAGCCTAACGCTGAGCCTAAGGCTGAGCCTAAAGACGAGTCTAAAGTAGAGCCCAAAGAGTTCACAGTAGCTGTGCATAGCTGATCATTTCGCTGACATTCAATGACATGTCATTTGTTATCATTGTTGACATTTACTGATCAATACTTAACAGCTTTATTTTAACATACGTAGAACCAAGACAACTTTTATTTATATGTATATTGATAAAACGTGCCTAGCTTTCATGCTACTGTCATTTACTGCCAAATGTCATATTTCATTGTTACATATGACCCAATATTGCAACCTTTGTTGCTGAAATTTCTTGAATATTTCTTTTTGAATATTGTCATTGTGATCACTTACTTCAACATGTTTACTGGTATGGCGTGGTCTAACGGTAGAGCGCTCGACTACTAACCCGAAAGTCTCGTGTTTGAATCCAATCTGAGTCTCTGAGTCCATCCAGCTCGTGATGGGTACCTGGCAAAAGCTACGGAATGTAAACCTGGTCATAGTACTGGCCAAATTATCTCTTAGTATACCATGATCGCAGAAACAGGTGAACTCTACCTTACTGTAGCAAATTTACGTTAATTATAGTATATTTCACCATAAGGAAATATATTGGTTTTGAACATTGTTTCAATCATTTACAACTGTGTGTTCTTCATTTGGGAACAATAACCTGACATTGTCATGTAAATATCCTTCTAGAATCGCAATGCTAGCTGTAAATATATTAATATTGTATTTATTTCAATTTTTACTTATTATTATGTACTTTAAGATTATTTTTTTTACAATTTATTATTTTAGAATATTTAAAATCTAGTTATTTTAAATTGATTATTGACTGTTATTTTTTTTTATTGTTGATTTTTTTGTGTGGTCTTTTTGACCTAAAAGTATTAATTTGTAAGTTGCTATTTACATGATGTTTTAAAAATAAAAACAAACTTTGCTGATTTAAATCAATTTTAAACTTTGGTTGTGTTTTTGTTAAACATTTGTAAATGTGTCTAAAATGTTTCTTGGACCTACAAAAAGAGAGGAGGGAGTGTTGTTGGTGAGTAAATAACGCATGATGATTTGATTTTTATGGGGTAGAGGGGGGGGGGGGGCAAGAATCCTTCAACTACTTTAGATAAATTTAAGCACTGCCAGTGAATGATACATTGATAAATCAATGAATACCAACTTGCCTAGTGGAGTTAATATACTCAAATGTTACTGGTACCTACCTATTCACAGACGATCGTTTCCATGACCCACAATCATTGGACTTGTAAAAACACAATAGTTTCCCCTTCAAGCAGAAAAATGATGACCTAAAGGAGATGATACTTTTCTAAACATAGCCGTGTTAATGCTTTGTTTCTCTTTATCTGGGGAGATAATCGTATACTGGATTAAAATATACCGTGAGAAATTAACGAAAACAACAACCTATAATACAATTATTATTCGAATTAAATAGAAAACCAGTATCTTTGTAGACTGCAACTGTAATTACTTAATGTATATTTTTAATGTCTAAGGGAGGTAATTCCAAACATTTTAATCGATTATATTATCAAGATTGTTCTCCCTTTTAAAACAAAATGTGTCGCGCTAAAATGTTATATACAGGTCAGGCCCGACAATGCAAGGGAGGGGGGGGGGGGGGACAACTGCCCAGTCTGTTATGGGGCCCAAAGCTCGACCAAAAAAGAAAATTCTTTGTTGCACCATGATAGTAGTTTTGCAAAATTTTAAAAAATAAAAGTGAAAGATTATGGCAAATGTTCAAACCAATTATGTGATGTTGTATTTAAATAGTTAAATAGAGATGTCCATAAAGTTATTTTTATAATACTATTTTTAAAATTGTAAAAACAAATACTTAGACCTATCATAATTTATTTTAATTTTAAAAAGACATACTAAAAAATAACAAAGATATAAAAATAATATGAATACTAAACCAATATACAGTGTATAATATTATAGCGGCCTCCTATTTAAATAACAAAAAATATATTCTGTAATACAGTAGAATAATATGATTACGAATGCAACAAAAATGGACATATATCCGTTGTTATATTTAAATATTAAAGGGAGTTAACTGTTAATATTTAATTTGATCTTTTTTCTAGATCGCTTCCCTTTTTTAAAAACTTGTCGGCTTAAATTGTGTATTTATTTTGCACCATTACTTTCTTTAACCTCAGTCTATGACTCATAATATGAGCTACTTGGACCCAACGACGTCATATGGACTAGGGTCCGAGTTCTGAACTCGAGATATTCTTCATTATCGATTGCCTTATCTGGTCTAACAATGTTTACCTATTACCCATGCGTCTCTAAACTACTACTCCAATAGCCACTTATCCAGTAGCACTGACTGTTACTTGCTAAATTGCGTATATTGTCTCATACTGTTCAGTATGTCTTCTTCTGCTACACCTAAAATAATCGATCATTTATCAATCTATAGTCCAGATTTAACTTGCTCTCAAATCACCTTGAGGAAATCATGGGGCACTTCACTCAATAATGATATATTGCTGACAGCACTACATCTTATATGTAAACGTAAAATAACTATAACGTTATCAAACTACCACGTTTTATCCTAAATAAATTGTATCTTAACAGATTACAGTCGTGAAGAGTTGGAATTGAAATTAGAACAAAATGGCGACATGTAACTGTTATTACGTGTTACATGGCCTTTAAGAAGCAAAGAAAATACTCGCAACATCATAAAAGGCATAAGGGCAATGGCACTTACATTTCTGAAGCCCATTAGGACGACAGGATTAACATTAACAGCGCTGGTTTCTTTTGACCAGCTTCTGCAACTGATGTTGGTACCAAACCTAATGCGTTGCTTAGGTAAGTATAAGAAAGAGAGGGCAAGAGTTCCCCCCCCCCCCCATGTTAAACTTTGATCCTTATGTACCCTTTACTAAGAACTTTTTTATTTCTAAATAAAAATAAAGGCAAAACTTGAAAACTAAATATAAGTTTAAGTAGTCCTAAAAACATGTTTAATGTATTGTTAAGTCATTGCAGTAATGCCTCACGACAACATGTTCCATTTACAACGCGATAGATAAACGTTCACATCTCAAATAGAGATGTCACACACACTCCCTTCTCTTTTTATTGTCTCTGTAATCGCCTTCCATAAAACCCTCTGTCTAAGGTCACGATACACATACACATGTTACACGTTTATGGTTGAAATCTCAGTTCCTCACTCCATACTTGACTAAACAAACTATTGAAATATAATGGCATCCAACACCGTAGGCCTATATAAACTATGATATTTCCAAACTTAGTTGTACGTCTACAGTGATACCGAACGACAAGCGCTCTCGTCAGAACATCTAAACCCACAGCACCAAGATGAAGTTCGTAGTTCTCGTGCTCTGCTTCCTGTGTGTGTCGCTTTCACAAGCACAATGGGTGAGTTATAAAATTATACTAGATCAATAGTTTTAACTCATTGTTTTTCAATGTATACAAATTATTTTAGATTACAATATTTAGTTCTTGATTTTCTAAAGGCATGAAAATCATACACAATAAATAGATATTAAGGGTTGTCTTATCATTTTCAAGTATTGGGTAGATTGGATATATTGTCACAATTAAGTACCGTTGTTGACATCTTCCGATCGTTTTTTGTTTATCACAAACGGTAATAATGGTACCAGTAATTGATGTGTATATGCCAGAAAATGGATTAGAAGATTAAAATTTAGATTATAACACAATTTTTGTAGATGATCATTACGAAAAAAAAGTTATTTAAGTACTGAAGTCCGGTAGGATGGCGTGGCCTAGCGGTAGAGCGTTTTAAAAGTTGTAATACAATAGAGTTGACTGTAAAACTTATGCGCTCAAAATGAACATGAAAAATGCGAGTATAATAGAGCGGGAAATAGTAATTTTATAGGAAATGTTAATGTATTCATAAACAATTAATTAGACATCGAATTAAGTCAAATTAAATTGGCATCTGGTCTTGACCAATGTGTTAAGTGTGAAACGAATTGGTCAGTTAAAAGTGATCGAAATTTTGCTCGACAGTTCAAAGCTAAGGTACGAATCGGACGTGACGACACAGATGGGGCGAGCAACGTCTTTGCTCGTGTGGAAGACGTCCTTAATACAACATCCGGCGGTATGTAAACTGTTTGTTAACACATCAATGTCATTTTTACACAGGTCTGATTATCTGAACTATCATACGTAAGCTTCATATTTTCAACATATTTTCAACATTATTTTTTTAATTTAACTTTTTCCATAGGAATTTTAAAGTTTTATATTTAAAGTTCTTAGTTTAATTTAGAAATAAGCAATGCAGCAATAAGAAATGCAACCAGAAAAATAACGACCCATTATCATACTATATATATATATATATATAGATAGATAGGCATATATATATATATAAATATATATATATATATATATATATATATATATATATATATATATATATATAGGCCCTACATATATATATATATATATATATAGGCCCTACATATATATATATATATATATATATATATATATATATATATATATATATATATATATATATATATATATATATATATATATATATATATATATATATATATATATATATATCAATGTAATATAAACAGGAATTGTAGGAGTTGATCTTGCTGATGCAGCTAAAGAAATTGCATCAATGGCAGACAGTATAAAAGAAGACGGTACGTTACAGCTATTTTTCCAGTTAATGTTGATCTATTTAGCTTTGATCCGTTTAGTTTCGCTCTAGTTAGTTTTATGTTTTCACCTTTAATACATGGTTAAGTGCGCTTTAGCATTTTACAAAATGTTATCCTTTTAAAAAGTATTTTAAATTACAAACATAATAAAATAATATTTAAAAAACACATCATGAAAAACTATTAGATAAATTTTAAAAATCATATAATTAAGTAATTTGTTTTATTTCTGCAGTCTCGAGTGAAGACGTTGATAAAATTATATCAGAAGTATCCGCATCATTCAATGGAGTTTCGGCTGTATCCGCGCTTTTTGATGGTAATAACTGTTTTATTTTCGTAATGGATTTAGTGAATACTATATAGTACGAGTTCATGTAAAAAATATGATGCATGTCTAATTTCTGATAACAAAATTTTTAATGAGTTTTTTTAATGAGTTTTTAATGAATTTTTAATTGGTTTATAATACGATCGTTGAACTTATTTATTTACCGTTTTACATAACCGACATAACCTACGAGTCACGTGTTAAAATTTCTACTTTTACTTTCATCAGACGACTTAACCTACGAGTCACGTGTTCTGCAAGCGGCGCTAGCACTCTGGGACGGTCTAGTGAAAAGGGGAAGAGAACTCAAAGGTGAAATATATTTTATTTCTGCTTAATTTGTATTGACTCTTCTTCCATACTCTTTCTCTAATATTTTATTATTTGTACATGTATATTTGTATAAACGTATATATATATATATATATATATATATATATATATATATATATATATATATATATATATATATATATATATATATATATATATATATATATATATATATATATATATTTATATATAATCCAATATGTGCGTGTATGTATTTATGTATGTATAGATACATATACATATAATTGTTGTCTTCAGGTGAAGGTAAACCTGTAGATGCTGTTCTGGCTGCCATTAGTAAAACAGCTGGAGCTATTCACCCTCTAGTAGAGGACATTGGTAAGTCAGAATCTATTCTGTTTTTTTTTCTCACACATTAATTAAAGATGTCGACGACAAATGCCTGAAATATACTTGCTCCGAATATTTAGCACTGAAGCCTGTTTTCTCAATAGGATTACTGCTATAAGTGAGTTTTCGGAATGGACAAAAGCCACAATGTATAAAAGCGCAAATATGCCCAAAAAAAATCTGAAAAAACTTTGATAATAAAGTGTAACCATTAGACAATATAACCGATAAATATTTCGCTTTCGCCATTTTGTTTCCACTGGGACAAGATCAAAAGCGAATTATTTAAAAAAATAAATTATAATGTTTAACATTACACATTTCCTTGGACAACAAGCAAACAAAACGACATTTTTTCTAATGGTTTGTCTTCTTTGAAAATTGGCTTTTATCGATTCGAAAAATCATCCTTGAAAAAATCTTCTATATATAAATAAGCAAACAGCGTTTGTTTCAGGCAAACGTTAAAAATTAACCTACTTACCTACTAGTTTTTCATTATATTTACAATTATTAAACGAGATATTTGGACATGAAATGATAAATATTATAAAACTTAATAAACATTATCATAGCAAACCTCTGCTTCTCTATTTTCTCTTCAGCTGAGCGTATCACCTACCAAGAAAATAGCTCTGAAGGTAAAAATTTTGCTTGTTTCATAGTTATTCCTTCATATGCCAGTGGGTTACAACAGTTTCAAAACCCCAGTAGACAATGTATTTTTAAATGTAGTACCGTCAGCCTAAATCACACCCCACTGTGGTACCCTTAAAGCTTTCCTATTTTACCAAGTTCTTGCAAAATCTAGATTTTCGTTCTATATGTTTTTATTGAAGCTATGTTTTCTATTTTTGTTTTAGTTAAAATTTTGTTTTGTCTAATTTCGATTTAAGTTGTGTATTGGGGATACTTAAAAGAATAATGAATGTATAATTGGCAAATTATCTAAACGACGGTATACACATGTTTTAATGTTTATTTAATTTGTACTGGCCGCATTCAACGCTTGACTAGTGTTGTGTATTATATGTTCACAGTTTTTCCAGATGCGTTACCCCGAACTGTTAAATCCAATTTAAGAACTCCTGAAAATATTTTAAAGATAATAAAGATATTTTAAATATAATAATAATGTAGAATAGCTTAATTAAGCTATAATATATAAATATGTTTCTAGTTATGTACTATTTTAAAACACAAAGATAGTGATTATTGCTGCTAAATATTTTTAATACGCCAACCCAAAAGTTTTCTAGTTCATTCGGATCCCGGGTGCGAATTCGTAGATCATCTCTTAGTCCACCCAGCTCTGATGGGTACCAGACTCATGTTAGGGAAACAAATGCCGCTAGCCATAGATTTAAACACACTATCCCCTCGTATACTGAGGTAATTGAAACAGATTCGATCTTCTTCATCTGCCCCATGTGTCTTGGAAACAAAAGGAAAAAAATGATGAATTATTTAAAAAAAAAAACAATAATAGTTGAGTGATATTCTGTCTAATTCCACAGGGCTAACAACTGAATCACCAACTGAGGTAAGACTAAAAACTAACACTATTTTATAATATTCGTTGTGTCGATGTTTAGTAGAGCTAACAGTGCAAACAATAACATTGTTAAATTACATTTACTACGTTATAAATATATAACGAAAATTTATCTTTGTATGTTTTATTTTTATCTTTTGCAGGAAACTGTCACAGGAGCTCCCAAAAAACGTGAGAGTGACATTTAACTATATCCAAATTCTTGCAATTAATTAAGTATAGAAATCTAAATGCTATAGGCCTATCGGTGTAAAAGCTATTTCGACTTTACGTTAACCTTAAGGGTCCGCTAAAGTGTACGTCCGAAAAACCTTCAATCCTACATAAGTAATAAATGCATTGATAAAAATTACTTACTTTAACGCTAAATTAGCTACACCCAGCTACTGTTACCAGTATCAACACAATGTTTAAATTACATTTTTAAAATGAATCCACGGTTTTGACTTATCGTGTTCAACATTAGCCCCAGAGGCGTAGCGACCGCTCCTGGCGCCCGGAAACAAACTTTCAATTTAGCGCCCCCCCCCATATATTTTTTATATTTATAATTCCAAAAATAGCAGCTAAAATGAGCTTATTTTGGCGCCCGGGGACCCCCCCCCCCTCTCCCGTCGCTACGCCTCTGATTAGCTATGACGTGTTGCAGTGAATTTTATTAATTGTTGATCAAAAGCCGATATGAGCGATAAAAAAAACAGTTTTTTACATACTTAAACAACGCCTCGACAAACAGTTATTAATTTTGAAAAACAATCATTATAATTACTTGTTTATATGTAAAGCTATTAAAGGAGATATGCTCATTGAAAAAAAATCACCAAAATCATGATTTTTCGTCATGATGGGTTTCTTGCACTTTTGGATACTTAGTACATTCTAGTATTATCATTATGCTCATGTATTTGATAATCGTATTTTCAATAATCACGGAAACACCCAAATCTTACAATCGATTTTACATATTACACAGTTACTGTATTTTCGTGACCTTCTTTTCGTTGTTTTTTGCCGTTTTTTAACACTAAAAAGGCTACTACTTTTTTATTTATTAAAAATGCACATCATATTTTCAGTTACTTTTTTTTCATGCAAAAATACAACTTTTGTTACGTGGGAATTGTGATGGCTTTCATAGAAAAAAAAAGGTTTATGGTAACTAATATGCGAATTTTGAAACGTTGGCATACTAAAAAGGTTCGATTTTTCGTTCCTTGTAAAATTCCGACTAGTAGTTCTTGCAAAAAGTTTTAATATATAATGAAATATAAGCCGTTTAAAATAAATTTAATTTCTATAAATGCATCAATAAAAAAGCCTTAGCGTTTTTTAAAGTACCGGGTTTGTGACAACCAAAATTGATTTAAACGCATTTTTGTTTGCTTTTTAATACTTACTTTCATATACCAAACATGATAAAAGTATTTAAAACGCTTTAGATCTGAAGTTGTAAAAAAGGAAAAAGAGCATATACCCGCATAATTGTTTTACAATTCTTATTACGTTGAGTTTATAAAGAAGTACTTGCAACTTAGAATATTAAATTTTTCGCCTTTTTCTGCTACAGGATGTATCAGGTTCTGTATTATATGGCTGAGGGTGGGTGTCTGTGCAAGATGGAGTTTGTGTGGGTAAATGCTTTCAAGACGGAAAAACAATTCATCGTGCCTGCTTTTGGAGTTAGTCAGAAATCCTAACGTGTTTAAAAATATTGAACTTTCTTGATTTGTCTTTATTTTCTTTATTATAATCTTTTATTTAGTTTTCAATGTCTGTTTGTTCGTTCGTTTGTTTTTGGTTTGCCTGTTTTGGGGTTTCTTGTGGCGGAATTTCGACTTGTTTCTAATCATAAGATTTAGTTTAATCTTCCCTGAGATATTTGTCTCAAGTGACAAGGCAATATTAACATATTTTTTTTATCAAATTGCACATTAAAAATATATGGGGAAGTCGCAAAATTGAAAGTTTGTCCCCGGGGAAGGGGGGGGGGAGGCACCAAATTGAAAGTTTGTCCCCGGGCGCTAGGAAGGGTCGCTACGCCTCTGGCTACTGGTCGAGTTTTTTTAAAAAAAAGTATCTTTAGCCGTAAGGGCTGTCGACTTTATTAAGAATGAATTATTTTTTTAAAGGTAATTAAGACAAGGAAACAAAAAGCTTTATAATAAGCTCTGGGATTTACCGAAAATTAGAAAACTAAAGAAAATCTGTCGTGTGTGTCAGTTGTTCCTGACTCCGTCGAAGCTAATGTCGTGCAATGGCAATTCGGACACGTCATTAAATACATGTCGTCACCTGATACATGAGAGTGTTTCGGCGTTCAGAACTGAAGAACTATTTTTAGCGTTAAAAGAAATGATAAAACTTGTGTTCTTGTGATTTACGTTAGACAACCAAAGTGAGATATTTTTAAAGTAAGTAACATGCGTTACCCGGCCCCTTTCTTAATAAATACATAGGTTGATCTAATAATTATATCGCAATAGAACATACTTTAAGTGATATAAAAATATGAAAATAATTTTACAATTTTAGTGCCATAAGATATTTGATTATTTAAAAGTGCAGTCAATAATCGTAAAACAAGAAAAAAAAAACTTCCTAATTCCAGCCTGCAAGACACCGCTAAAAGCGGCTAAAAATACCAGCACATTATGAAATTTTAAAAAAGGATTAATTGCTGCACCAATGTTATCATACGACCCTTAATAAATTAGCTCTGTAAGTGTTATTTGCTAGATGTAGAGTATGAAACGGTTGTTAATTTTTTCTGTTAAAAATGAAGTTGCGGAAATTCGTTATGTAGGGGCATCACGCTATTCAAGCCAATACATATTTTCACCATACCACACACACAACATCACTTTTATCTATACATTTATCTACTTATCTATATATATAATTCTCTTCTTCGAGCCGTTAGAAAACAAGCTGCAAACGCTCTCCCTACCTCCCCACCCCTACATGGTTTTAGTGAGCTGTGTTCACTCTAAATGTTTACAAGCAGAGCCAACGATTTTAAACGTAGGGGGGGGGGAAGGAAGGGGGGGGGGGTTATGGTCCTTAACGAGCTACTTATAGTGTTTTAAAGAAATATTTTCAGTGTCAGCGTTGGTACTGTCGAATTCACAAATTATGAATTATTGAAAATTAGAAACAACTAAATAGCGGCGTATGTTATGCCGCGGGCCGGCTCGTATATGAAATTTCATCAACCTAGCTGTAATGGTACTCAAAGTAATTGTGTTTAAATACACAGAAACACACATAGATACACACTCATACACAAACACACATACAATTAAATATATGGACAAAAAAAAATTGCATAACTAAGTTTGTGGATGGACTCTGTTCTACTGACGTAAACTCAAGACTTTCGGGTTAGCGCTCAAACCGCTTCAGCCACGCCGTCCCCTAGCAGTACTGTGTGCTTGCTAACAATCTAGTCACTGGTTCTGTACAAAGGCTCCATACCTTATGCCATCCCTAAAAACTGACCATCATTTAAGCCAATTTATGTGCCGGAAGAAGGAAACGAAGACCTGTGGCAAACCCGCGAGTTTGTTTACTGAAGGACAGAATAGGATAAATACTCTGGATTTTGAGCATCGCCTGAGTCGGTTACGGCAATGTATACAAAACAAGTTACGCAAGAGAAATAAGAAGTAAGCACAATTTAAACCTTGAACCTAACATAGCCTAACCTCAACTAATATTAAATACGTTTTCCTAAACTGAAATTCAATCAAATTTTAAAAGTACATAAACGATTCAAAAGTCATCAAAATATATTTGTTATTGTGCATACAGTGCAGCGTCACCGCCATGTCGCCACACGACAGCCTGTTGTATTAACAACTCGTGAGATTAGCTTTCACATTTTGACGGAGAAGTATCATGCACAGTCACTTCCCATTTAATTGTTTCTCACCACCTGTCATGAACAGCTTTCTCTAACGGTACGCTGAAAAGAAAAACAAGTTACACGTGTATGCAGTGGCGGCATTAGATACAATAATTTGTTTTCCCTCTCTCTTTATATATATATATATATATATATATATATATATATATATATATATATATATATATATATATATATATATATATATATATGCCTATAGAGAGAGAGGGGTACAGAGAAGAGTGAAAGATTAAATGCTTATTATTAAAAATAATTAATTTATCTGGATTTTAAATTAGCTAAATCGTTTAAGTTTTTTGGTTAATTTTATTTGACGCTGTTCTATATTAGTACTTGCGTTCAGTTTTTTTTTTTTTTGGAAAGTATGAATGTAAACAAAACTCCAAGCTGTGTCAAAACAGGCCGTGATAGAGCGATAAAAGAACATTATAATTCGAATCGACATAATCAGGAGTCTTTGCTTAAAGAACAGCCACACTTACGCTAATTTTGTGGCTCTCGACGTAATGGCTCCCGTTCGTTTATTGAAAGGCAGCAAGAAGCAGTGTGAATATTTGTCAACAGTGGATCATTGACTGTATAATAAAGATATCTCAACAAATAAATATCAATGATGAAATGGGGGGAAAGTTACATTTTGAAATTGATTCTATGTTGAAGTTTATTTTTATTTATGCTCAGATGTGAGTCTACTAAATAGCTAGCCGCCCTCTGTCCCCCCCCCCTTGCGTGCTGTGGGATCTAGGGGGCCTGGTAGATCCGACCCTGCAAGCATGGCTTCTTATTTCAGTTTTCCATCTCTTCCTTGACCAAGCAAACAACCCAATTTTAATTGCAGCCAACACCTTTGGCCGATATATACTCTGATATTTTCACGAATAGAAGTACATCTACCGTGATACAGTACTCAAACCTCTCTAAACAAGACATCATCAGCTACAGCCCCAAGATGAAGTTTGTTGTTCTAGCTCTCTGCTTCCTTGGTGCGTCTCTTTCGCAAGCAAAACTGGTGAGTTACAAAAGTATATGTTCAAAGAATAGTTTTAGCTCTTAAGTTTTTAAACTAATAACTTTATTAATTTTATACAAAAAGAAGACGGTAAGGTGGGCGAGGGGGGGGGGGGGGGTAAAACATTGTTGTATTGTGTGGACTAAAGCTATTACCTCCTACCATAGCTATGCGACGTTATCTGTTTTTTACACTTTGCTTCTCACAAGTAGTTCTCTAATTATCAGTAATAAATTTGTTACCGATTACATAGGCATAAACTAGATGTTGAAAGATTAGTTATAGTTGATTTTTAAGGGTTTAAACGATGCTGTTATTTATTAGATAATATTGAGTTGATGTTAATACTATTTTACCATTTTCGTTTTAACAAGATTTCATTTGATTCCTACTTTTATTTTATTTTATTTTAGTCCACATATAAAAGCGTGTTATTATAAACTTTTAAAAATAGTTTTATTCAATGTTTTATTTTCTGATTTTAGTTTTCCGGATGCTCACACCAATTCACTATGTACCTATAAGTACCACTTACCTCTTTTAGAAGAACAAAAATGATTTGCAAGCGTAATAAAGTCCGTTATTGTACACTGTTGTCTTGCGTTCGAATCCCGGACTCGATTTCTAAAGATGTCTCTAATTCCACGCAGCCCTGGCGGTACCTGACACATTTATCAGCCTAGGTCATTGAAACGGATCTCTGTTTCTTCAGGCTTATATATCTTGTGCTATAACCTGATAATATGAATTAAGTCCCACTGACTTGATTTTGCTTTGTTTTATGTCTATCACATACAAGTATTTAAAAACACACGATTTTAATTTTGTTTCATTTTAAACTTAAACATGCACAATGAATCTACAGGAGAGATTCAAGGACCGTAATGTTCCTGACGATAACGATGCAGTCAACGATTTATTTTTTCAGTTGGAAAACGTGCTCAACATTACATCCGACGGTTTGTATATTGATTTTTTAACACACGACAATGACTAGCGCGCTCTGTCAGCGTTAGAACTACCAAACATCAGCAATACTAGTGCAGCACACTTTACAAACATGATTTTGTTCAATTAAGTTTCAAAATCACAAAGCAAAATAGTAAACTTTTAACGTTGAATGCAAAAGCAACTACAAAACGTGTATATATATATATATATATATATATATATATATATATATATATATATATATATATATATATATATATATATATATAATTTTATATAATTTAAATGTATGTATTTATATATATATATACAGGAATTATAGGAGTTGATCTTGCCGTAGCAGCAAAAAAGATTGCATCATTGGCAGACAGTATACGAGATGACGGTACGTTCCCACAACATATGTTCCATCTTTATCCCTTCTGATTGTTTACCACTGTTTACCATTGTGTACAATGTTGTTTTCATTCTATCTTGTTTTACGATGACTGCCACATAATTTGGATAATTGTATTAATTCATTTTAGTATCAAGTGAAGAAGTTGATCAAATAATATCAGACGTTTCCTCAAAAATCAATGGCGTTACCCCTGTGTCTGATCTTTTTGACGGTGAATTTTTTTTCTATTAATCTTTCATTGCATTGGATACTATGAGTAAGTAGTTGTAGGGTAGATAATAATATTTGTTGTATTCTGTACTATGAGGGCTGCAGTTCGAGGGGCGATTTTAAAAGGCCCTCAAATTTCCTCTTACATTAAGTGGTAATTTTCACTTTACAGCGTAATTGTTTGTTTTTAACCAGCTTTTATTTAACTAGTTTCCTCTGTCGTCATTTTGTCTGTTTGTCTAGATCGAAACGCCCGAGCGAAATTACGGGCTCTTCTAACTGAAAGATTCGGTTCAAAGTTGGCACATGGATCAAGACATGAAGACAATGCAACATGATATTAAACTTTACTTAATTGGTTTTCTAATTAATTTTTAATGAATTGATAAACTTTTTGACTAAATTAGTTGGCAGTCGTACCCAACTACTCCGCACTTTTATACACGCGTCATCACGTTCAATAGGTGCGCAATGGTTTTTAGTCATGCAATTTTATTGTAAATAAAACAAATTACTAAAAAAATGTCATAAAAACGTTTTATTAACAAGCTTTTATGTAATAATGCACTAAAAAGGAGAAAATAAATTATGCACTACTATTTAAATAACTATAAAGAAAAGCGTTTATAATTTCACGTACGTGTATATAACTACGCAGGTGAACACTAATATTACCACCTTTTCTTTCTTCAGATGGCATAACCTACGAGTCAAATGTTCTGGATGCGGGTCTTGCACTCTGGGAAGGTCTAGTTAAAAGGGGGAGAGAACTCAAAGGTAAAGTATGTTATATTTCAGAGACACTTTCTCATTCTTTGTATGTCTCTATATTTATATTATATATCTATAATATAACGCTGGTGGTAGTGTGTCAGTCAGTCATTCCGTCATCGCTATAGATTTTGGAACCATAACACATGTGGAGCTTTTTATTTGCATCGCAGTGTCTTATTATAAGTAATAGATTAGGGTTTGTTTATATAACGACTTAAATTTATTTTATAGGTGCCACTGTTTTTACTCTTTCGCATAACGTAAAGAAAATATTAAATACACGCACATTGCTAAAACATATTAAAGGGATCAATGTCAAATATTATTTTTGTTTAAATTTCTATACAAGTGGATACAAGTTAATAATACTTGGGTCGAAAAAAAACTAATTAATTAAACTGGTTTGTAATTTTCCAAGTGATGTAATTTAAAAAGAAATTCAACTCACGCTAATATAAAAAATGTCAATGCTAAATTTCCAAGAGGAAATTATTGTTGAAATAATATAATTAGCAAAATGTACGGACAGGGTGCGATTTAGTAGCACTGGCTAGATTGCGTTTATGTTTGCATTCAAGTTGTGATAAGATATCGGTGTTGTGTTTTGTATTTGTGTGTTGCGTTTGTGTTTTTGTATGTATTTGCATTGTGTTTGTTTGAATTGGGTTTGTGTTTTCTTTTGTAATAGTGTTGTGTTTGTTTTTTCTTTTGTGTTTGTGTTTTTATGTGTTTGTGTAGTGTTTGTGTTTTCTTTTCTATTTGTATTGTGTTTGTGTTGTGTTTGAGTTGTGTTGTGTTGTGTTTGTGTTGTGTTTATATTGTGCTGTGTTTGTGTTCACTGAATCAGGTGCCGGGGCTCGGGCAGGGTGCAATGTGGCGCCACGGGCTAGACTGCGAGCACTATGCGTTTATGTTTGATTTTAAGTTTAATATACGTTATGAGTGTTGTGTTTGTGTTTTCATTTGTGTTTTTATTTTTGTTTGTTTTTTCTTTTGTGTTTGTGTTTGTGTGTTGCGTTTTACTTTCGTTTGTGTTTGCATTGTGTTTGTTTGCATTGTGTTTGTGTTTTCTTCTGTGTTTTGTTGTGTTTGTGTTTTCTTTTGTGCTTGTGTTTGTGTTGTGTTTGAGTTGTGTTTGTGTTGTGTTTGAGTTTGTTTCTTGTTTTTGTGTTATTTTTGTTCTGTTCCTAAGTTGGGACATTTAAAAATGATTTACTGTGGCGGAGCACACAGTATGCTGGTAAGTATATATATATATATATATATATATATATATATATATATATATATATATATATATATATATATATATAGATGAAGGAAAACCTGTTGATGTTGTCCTGGCTGCCATCAGTAAAACAGCTAGAGCCATTCAGCGTCTAGTATTGGATATTTGTAAGTCAGAATCTGTTGTTGTTTTTTTCTACACATACGTAACTCAAAACTGGTTTACGACTTAAAACTTAATTGAAAAAAATATTTTAAAATTTTCTATCAATCATATTTAAAACAAAACGTTTTCGTTTAATCTTAAGCTTCGCTCATCACGTACCAATACAATGGAGTAGAAGGTAATGCTATGTTTCATAATTACTACTCTTTGTGCTCATATGATAGCATAACTTTAAAACACTTTTTAAGAAGTGTGTTTGTTAGATGGTTGTTCTTGGCCCCTCCTCAAGATTCCCTTGACATTTTTAAAGATAGGCCTATTAAATTTGTGAAATGTTACCCACAGCAAACATTTGTGTGATTTTGCTTTCCTTTGTGTTTTATGTATTTTTATTAAAATTGTGCGTTGTTAGTTTTTGAAGTTGAAGTTGTGTTTTGGGAAATATTCATCCATCTATCAATTTATTTTCGACAGATATTCTTGCTATTTTATGATTATATGAATGTTTAACCCCCCCCCCAACCCTCTTTTTTTCTATTGAGATTGTGAATGTTTTCAAAGTTTTTCAAGCTCCAACCTACCGCATTAGTTAAAACAAGCCTTGTTTAACTCTTGTTAGTCTAGAAATCAAAAGTGTGAGAGAGTAGAAAAACTATTTTTAAAAAAGCACCCCTTTAATGAATTCATTTTTTTCCCTTGAAATGTATATTAACAGTAAACTTTATCTAGGCTTGTTTTAATTACATTTTCGTATCAATCTACATACAATTATCTATCTTTTCGTAATAATAAGAGATTTGATAATTAAATTTACCGACATTCTTTTGAACTCCATAGGACAAACCACAGCGTCACCAAGGGAGGTAAGAGTTATTAAGCCATCTAGCCATTTTTTAGATCAGGGGTCTCCAAACTTTTCAGTCCGAGGGCCGCATTAACTATGAAATATCAGTTCGGGGGCCAGAGTTTCTTCAAGACATCTATGGGGAGGGCCCCCCCCTCCAGAAGAACGTATACCCCCCCCCCCCCCCACGAAATATAATTTATATAGAAATATTTGCAAATTTCAAGTGTCCACCCCCCTCCCCTAAGATACTAGATTTCTCTCTCTTGCCGTTTTAGGTTCAGAAAATTTAAATCAATGCAGCAGAGGCCAATTTCTATACCCCCTCTAATGAACACAAAAAGTTGAGGTGGAACAACTGTCCAGCGACTCATCCATTGCAATTGAAAAATGGCGAAGCTTGCTTGCATATTTCGCTATTTGAGTCACGATGTTTTCACCAATGTCTGCAACACGGCCGGCAATGGTATTTGCACCCAAAGCTACATTTTCAAATTGTTTTGAATTTTCTGTGCAAAGTTCCTCAGTCACCTCTAACAACATTTATTCAGTGGACAAAAAGATCGCCGCGGGCCGGATGAAATGACCTCGCGGGCCGCATCCGGCCCGCGGGCCGTAGTTTGGAGACCCCTGTTTTAGATGCATCAGATCTTTATATTGTAGAACTTCTTGGTGTGGTGTGATATAGCGGTTGATCGTTTGAGAATGGACGTGTAAGTGAGTAAAAGAAAAGCTAATAGTAAGGTTATTAAATTTACTATAACAGATCTTATAATTTGTCATTATGTTATTTATTGTTTATCTTCTATAGGAATTTATCCCAGGAAAAGCCAAGAAACGTGAGATTTACACGAATTTTTTAACTAAAATTGTGCAATTCATTTATTTTTACGTATCGACGTCTAATTGTTGTACCAACAAAACAACTCATTAAATTGTAGTGGGTGTCAGTGGTCTATAGCAGGTCAGCAGTGTTTAGACTCGAGAACCGCTCAATCACAAATTAAAATAAATAACATGAAACAAATATCTTACCCTAGGGGGTTATCCATAAATATTTTTATAATGCTAAAGTGTGACGTCGCACCATCTGAACCCCCCCCCCCCTCCTCCTCATCACACACCGTCACAAAAATACGGACCCCCCTCCCCCCTACGAGTGTGACATTTATGGACGACCCCTAACCCAAAATCGACGAACCCTGATTTCTTATTACCTTTAATAAACAATATTTAAATCATATTCAGTTACTTGACCGTAACCTCCTGGTCTATTCCATTTAACGGCGACGCTGTAGCTTGACTGTTATCTTGATTCTTTGAAGAATAGTTGACTCGGCTCGTAGATCCTATACCAAAGTAAAGCAAACGACAGCTATGTTTACACAATTCTAATTTGTGATTTTAGAATTTTTACTTTCTCATATACAAAGTACAGAAGAAGTATTGTAATCGTGAAAAAAAATCGTGATTTTCCCTTGGTCGGAAAAAAAAAAGTTTTGCAATTTTGTCCGTATGACTGTGTGTGTGTGTCTGTGAACATGATAAATTGAGTACCGTTACAGCTAGGTTGATGAAATCTCATATATAAGTATTATATTAAATTTCTAGTTCTGTATCAACTTTTTACCGATTTCCGACAACCGGAAGTGAAACTTATTCTACTTTTAGTTTTTCAAAATCTTATAACTTTAGTACTGTTTCAGAGAAATAAATGACATTTCAGATGTAAGAAAAAGATCAAATTCACTGCCTTTTCTCAAATTGTAAGTAATTTCCGTTGATATGGAAGTAGTAATTTACGCTGTTTCCGATTTCTCAAAAATACGAATAAGAATTAATAAAGTACTAATTCTACGCATTATTATTCAAATATTTTTGCCGTTCACTTAGTGCGTATTTCTTTTTTCTACAAAATTCTATTCAATTTTAAAATAAACCGGGAGTGATCTCCCCTAAACTTTCTCGAATATTCTTATATAAAATAACAGGTGATGGGAACTCGGGCTATAGACACGATTTTTAATCCATTTTAAATACTTAAAGTTTTAAAAATAGAATAAAATCTCGTAGACAAATTAATTGCACACCAAGTGAACGCCAAATAAAAAAGTGCATAATAGTGCGCAATATTATTAGTACTTTAAAAATTTACATTTGTTTTTTGAGAAATCGGAAGTAGCGTAAATTACTACTTCCGGTCAACGGAAATTACTCAAAATTTAACAGAAGGTAGAGAATTAGATCTTTTACTTACATGTGAAATTTCATTTATCTATATGAAATAGTACTCAAGTTATAGGCTTTTGAAAAATTCAAAGTAGGAAAAGTACCACTTCCGGTTATCGGAAATCGCTCAAAAGTTGATACGGATCTACGATTTTGAAAAAATACTTATAAATGAAATTTCATCAACCTAGCAGTAACGGTACTCAAGTTGTTATCGTGTTTACACACGGACAGACAGACAGACAGACAGACAGAATTACATACATACGGACAAGATTGCAAAATTATGTTTTTCCGTATCAGTGAGGTGTAAAACGTCGAGATTTGTAAAAATCTCGTTTTTTTTTTTGCACTATTACAAGACTTTCTCTATACTTCGTATATACGAGAAAGTAAAAAAGTTTAAGTAATTAAAAATTAATTAAAAATCATGTCTATTTCTCGAATTGCCATCCCACGTAGTGTTAAGAAGAATATTCGAGAAAGCTTAGGTGAGATCACTCCCGGTTTATTTAAATAATAAAGTAGGGCCTATATGTTTAAAGAAAAACATCATTTCTTTTCTCCTCTTTAGTGCATTGTGACGTCAAGGTTTGCAATTAAAACGTTTTTACAAGCTATTATTTAAATTGCTTTCTATGCCGTCAGTCTGTCGTCAGTCATAGATCTAAACGCCAAAGTGAAATTTAGGGCAATTCTAACTGACCGATTTCATTCAAAGTTGGCACGTGTGTCAAGACAAAAAGACAATGCAACATGACATTAAATATGACATAGTGGATGCTTAATTTAAATTTTTATGAATAAATTAAAATTGTTTCCAAATTATTAGGCTGTCATACCCAACTATTTCGCACTATTATACGAGTGTTATTATGTTCATTAGGTGTGCAATGGTTTTTAGTCACACAACTCTACTGTAAACTTAAAAATTTTAAAGTATTTTTAATTTTTTTTTATAAAAAATGTTTTAACAAGCTTTTATGTAATGATGCACTAAGAAGTAGAAAATAAATTATATACTACTAAAAATAACTTTAAAGACAAGCGTGGGTCTCTTCCTAAATATTAGTAAAGGTATCCAATAGATTCTAAAGTGACCCACGCTTTTTTATAGTTATTTAAGTAGTAGTGTGTAATTTATTTTCTAGTTTTTAGAACATTATTTCATAAAAGCTTGTTATTAAAACGTTTTTATGATTTTTTTTTGTTAAAGAAGTACTTGCAACTTTGGTAGATAATGTATTATTTTGTTTACCCTACAGGATGTGTCAGGGTCTGTGCTAGATGGGGTAAATTTGGTGTCTGTTTGGAATGGAGATGTAGTTAAATGCTTTCGAGACGGAAAGACAATACATCATGTCTGCTTTGGATTTAACCTGAAATCCTAGCGTAATTAAAATTAATTGAACTGCTTAATGTGTCTTTTTGGCTTTATTATAAGCTTTAATTTAGTTTATAATGCATTTTTGTTTGTTTGTTTGTATGTTTTTGGGTTTGTGTCAAAGCTTGTGACGCAATTTTGACACTTTTCTAATGTAGTGATTTAGTTCAATCTTCCTGTATACATTTTACTCTGGTAACAATGTAACAATGTAAGTGTATCAACCTTTAATCTAATTATACATTTGGAGGGCTTGGACTTAGCGGAAGAGCGCTAAAATGCGTATCGAAAACTTTCGCGTTTTAAACCAGGGTTCCCCTCAGTTGAACATAAAGTCCACCCAGCTCTATTGACGTCTACCTAATGTTAGGGAAAGTAAAGGCGGCTTGGGCAAAGTAGCTGACCACACTGTAAGTTTATATGCCGAAGCCAAGAGACATATGAACTCTACTTCATCTACCTACTGGATCGCTGGGTCAAAAGTGTTTTTTTTTAAACGTTAAATTAGTAATTAAAATTAAATTTATCTATATATACAATTCTCTTCTGGGAGACGCTAGAAAACAAGCTGTAAACGCGCTCCCTACCATCCCCACCCCTACATGGTCTTAGTGAGCTGTGGTTCACGCTATGTTTACCTTCGTGGAGTCGGGTTTAGTGACGGCTATTAGGGGCAGATAATTTAGTTTGAAACGATTTTAAACGTTGGGGGGGGGGGGGGGGGGTGGGGAAGGAAAGGGGGGGTGGGTTATGGTCCTTAACCAGCTACTTATAGTGTTTTAAAGAAATATTTTCAGTGTCAGCGTTGGTACTGTCGAATTCACAAATTATGAATTACTGAAAAGTAGAAAATAAAACAACTAAATAGCGGCGTATGTTATGCCGCGGGCCGGCTTGTAGATTATAATATTCATGTATAAAAGGGGAGAGAACAAGATTAAGTACTGGCGATAGTTTTGTCACGGCTGGTTGATTTCTAGCCAGGGAGTCGAGTCCGAAAAAAAGGGAGAAATAATTGCCTTCTAAAGAGTGTAAGTTACTAATTGAGATTTTAAAAAAAATATTTTAGTATTAAGTGCTGTCGACTTCATTAAGAATGAATTGCTAAAAAAAATTAAAATAAAACAAATTTGCAAAAAGCTATATAATAATAAGCTGCTGAATTCAGCGATATTTAGAAAAAAGGTACATAACCAACGCAAAATGTTAAAAGTGTAAAAAACATGAGTTATCCTCCTTTAATAATTCTATGGTTAAAAGCAATATTGCAACTTTTAACTTAATCACAGTTCGATGATTCCTATAGGGTTTCTATAGTGCTGATACCACAAAAAGACATAATTAAGTGCTCTAAGCTTTTGATTATAAGGACATCTGTGTTTTATAAAGGACTGGAACGTAAAAATTTGCATAGGATGGCAAGTTTGGCAAACATTGTAACACTAAGGCAAAAGAGAAAGGGTAAAGGCTTTTAGAAGTTGCCAAATATAACTACTTTTGGGGCTATCACTCTAGGAACACACAAAGCGTCGAGAATCAGCACACGGTCTAGTCAAAAAGGAGTATCTTCCAGACATCTTTGGAGGGGGCGGTGTGGGGGGGGGGGGGAATAGTGCGAAATAGAATGTTGATAAAAAATATACACTTTTACCTGTTTCCGCCACCCCTCAACACCCGGAATATTTAGACGACACCCCGCTCCTCCCCAAAAGTGTGTCCACTTCCTCCCCCCCCCCCCCACTCCAGAGAAAAATGTCTGAAAGAAACACTGAACATCACTCACAGATAGAGTATATCATGTTGCAGAGTCGTTCAAGATCAAGCATTCACACCTTTACGACACGGAGTTTCCCATTGGAAATTTGAAAAAGCCATCTGTAATGCCCCAAATACACAGGACTTTATATGTACACTCCAGTTCTGTATCTATACACTCCAGTTCTGTATCTGTAGACTCCAGGTCTCCATCTACACTCCATGTCTGTAGCTGTACACTCCAGGTCTCTATATGTACACTCCAGGTCTGTATCTGTACACTCCAGGTCTGTATCTGTACACTCCAGGTCTGTATCTGTACACTCCAGGTCTGTATCTGTACACTCCAGGTCTGTATCTGTACACTTTAGTTGTGTATCAATAACTACAGGTCTGTATCTGTACACTCCAGGTCTGTATCTGTACACTCCAGGTCTGTATCTGTACACTCCAGGTCTGTATCTGTACACTCCAGGTCTCTATATGTACACTCCAGGTCTGTATCTGTACACTCCAGGTCTGTATCTGTACACTCCAGGTCTCTATATGTACACTCCAGGTCTGTATCTGTACACTCCAGGTCTGTATCTGTACACTTCAGGTCTGTATCAATAACATCAGGGTGTATCTGTACACTCCAGGTCTGTATCTGTACACTTTAGTTGTGTATCAATAACTACAGGTGTGTATCTGTACACTCCAGGTCTGTATCTGTACACTCCAGGTCTGTATCTGTACACTCCAGGTCTGTATCTGTACACTCCAGGTCGGTATCAATAACATCAGGGTGTATCTGTACACTCCAGGTCTGTATCTGTACACTCCAGGTCTGTATCTGTACACTCCAGGTCTGTATCTGTACACTCCAGGTCTGCATCTGTACACTTTAGTTGTGTATCAATAACAACAGGTCTGTATCTGTACACTCCAGGTCTGTATCTGTACACTCCAGGTCTGTATCTGTACACGCCAGGTCTGTATCTGTACACTCCAGGTTTGTATCAATAACTACAGGTGTGTATCTGTACACTCCAGGTCTGTATCTGTACACTCCAGGTCTGCATCTGTACACTTTAGTTGTGTATCAATAACTACAGGTGTGTATCTGTACATTCCAAGTCTGTATCAGTACACTCCAGGTCTGTATCTGTACACTCCAGGTCTGTATCTGTACACTCCAGGTCTGCATCTGTACACTTTAGTTGTGTATCAATAACAACAGGTCTGTATCTGTACACTCCAGGTCTGTATCTGTACACTCCAGGTCTGTATCTGTACACGCCAGGTCTGTATCTGTACACTCCAGGTCTGTATCAATAACATCAGGGTGTATCTGTACACTCCAGGTCTGCATCTGTACACTTTAGTTGTGTATCAATAACTACAGGTCTATATCTGTACACTCCAGGTCTGTATCTGTACTCTCCATGTCTGTATCTGTACACTCCAGGTCTGTATCTGTACTCTCCATGTCAGTATCTGTACACTCCAGGTCTGTATCTGTACTCTCCATGTCTGTATCTGTACACTCCAGGTCTGTATCTGTACACTCCAGGTCTGCATCTGTACACTTTAGTTGTGTATCAATAACAACAGGTCTGTATCTGTACACTCCAGGTCTGTATCTGTACACTCCAGGTCTGTATCTGTACACGCCAGGTCTGTATCTGTACACTCCAGGTTTGTATCAATAACTACAGGTGTGTATCTGTACACTCCAGGTCTGTATCTGTACACTCCAGGTCTGCATCTGTACACTTTAGTTGTGTATCAATAACTACAGGTGTGTATCTGTACATTCCAAGTCTGTATCAGTACACTCCAGGTCTGTATCTGTACACTCCAGGTCTGTATCTGTACACTCCAGGTCTGCATCTGTACACTTTAGTTGTGTATCAATAACAACAGGTCTGTATCTGTACACTCCAGGTCTGTATCTGTACACTCCAGGTCTGTATCTGTACACGCCAGGTCTGTATCTGTACACTCCAGGTCTGTATCAATAACATCAGGGTGTATCTGTACACTCCAGGTCTGCATCTGTACACTTTAGTTGTGTATCAATAACTACAGGTCTATATCTGTACACTCCAGGTCTGTATCTGTACTCTCCATGTCTGTATCTGTACACTCCAGGTCTGTATCTGTACTCTCCATGTCAGTATCTGTACACTCCAGGTCTGTATCTGTACTCTCCATGTCTGTATCTGTACACTCCAGGTCTGTATCTGTACTCTCCATGTCAGTATCTGTACACTCCAGGTCTGTATCTGTACTCTCCATGTCTGTATCTGTACACTCCAGGTCTGTATCTGTACACTCCATGTCTATATCTGTACACCCCAGGTCTGTATCTGTACACTCCAGGTCTGTATCTGTACACTCCATGTCTATATCTGTACACTCCAGGTCTGTATCTGTACACTCCAGGTGTGTATCTGTACACTCCAGGTCTGTATCTGTACACTCCAGGTCTGTATCTGTACACTCCAGGTCTATATCTGTACACTCAAGGTCTGTATCTGTACACTCCAGGTCTGTATCTGTACACTCCAGGTCTGTATCTGTACACTCCAGGTCTATATCTGTACACTCCAGGTCTGCATCTGTACACTATAGTTGTGTACCAATAACTACAGGTCTGTATCAGTACACTCCAGGTCTGTATCTGTACACTCCAGGTCTGTATCTGTACACTTCAGGTCTGTATCTGTACACTCCAGGTCTGTATCTGTACATTCCAGGTCTGTATCTGTACACTCCAGGCCTGTATCTGTACATTCCAGGTCTGTATCTGTACACTCCAGGCCTGTATCTGTACACTCCAGGCCTGTATCTGTACATTCCAGGTCTGTATCTGTACACTCCAGGTCTGTATCTGTACACTCCAGGTCTGTATCTGTACACTCCAGGTCTGTATCTGTACACTCCAGGTGTGTATCTGTACACTCCAGGTCTGTATCTGTACACTCCAGGTCTGTATCTGTACACTCCAGGTCTGTATCTGTACACTCCAGGTCTGTATCTGTACACTCCAGGTGTGTATCTGTACACTCAAGGTCTGTATCTGTACACTCCAGGTCTGTATATGTACACTCCAGGTCTGTATCTGTACACTCCAGGTCTATATCTGTACACTCCAGGTCTGCATCTGTACACTATAGTTGTGTATCAATAACTACAGGTCTGTATCAGTACACTCCAGGTCTGTATCTGTACACTCCAGGTCTGTATCTGTACACTCAAGGTCTGTATCTGTACACTCCAGGCCTGTATCTGT